TTGTTGGTTCGCCAGTTTTCCTGTAAAGTGAAACTGTCGTCTCGCTCGTTGGCTGTGACCAATTCTGCATTGGATGCAGATTCAAAGCGGGCGAAAATCAAATTTTCATTCGCCGCATCTCGCTCCATTCCCCCGCTTTGGGCCAACGATAGCATCCGTCTCTGTAAGCTCAGTTTGGAAAGTTGGGCCTTTGACAGCGGCACCGTCGACGGGTTTTCTTGGCCTTTTGGCGCCTACACGGAACACAGCCACCAACCCATCGCCATATAGTTTAGCAGACCTGGAACAGGTCCTTTCAGGAAAGCAGAGTATGCCCTCCTAGACCTCATGAACCTTGGGAGGCAAGCAGAACTCAGCTCCTCGCACTGGTGCATTCGGCAAATATCACCATTAAGAAAGGCAGGGCCGCGAATAGTTCGCACAATTGTGAACCTTAGACCAATTAGCGTTGCAACCGAAATGGCTCTCTCGCACCCAGAAGTTTCTTGAGTTTTACTCCACCCCCGCGCAAGTGGGGGGGGGGGGGGGGCAAGTTTGACACGATGGGTGTCATCCTTGCTGTTGTTTTGCACGCGCAGCTGCGACAAGAGCAAAACCCATGACTCGGGCTCAGATAGAAGGATTCTATCGCTGAGTGGACAAAGCTGCGGGGGAAAGGAGACGCGGGCAGACACAGTGCACGCGCACTAGGGCGCTGAGCGCAAGGCACGCGCGGGAGGAGCTGAGACATGGCAAGGAACACCTGCGCCAAACGAACTTAGTAGGATGGTTGAAACCCAGTCTGGTTGCCTGGTTGCTTGGTTGGGCAGTCGCTTGTTTGGTTGGTTGGGTAGTTGGTTGGTTGACTGTAGTGTTGACGGAGTGTTGGCTGTTGCGTTCATGGGTTCAGCAATCAGACATGAAGCAACGCAACAAAGAGCCCTCTACACCAGTCGGTGGATGGAAGAAATCTTGCATGGCTTTTGAAACATATCCAAGCCATCTTGTTACGACTTGCCCCGCGCCTCTGTATTAACATTGGTGCTCAGTTTGGCCAAGTTGGGTTGGGTCATGCAAGATTCAGGTCATTGACAACCTATGAGCGGTTCTGCCCGTCGCCGCTCAATGTTAAGTAGAGGGCGCGGGGTGGCAAACATGTAGTCTTGCAATTGGCGCGAAGCAAAGGAGCACCGAGGCTTGCGCAAGCCTGTCAATTTTTCTGAGTACCTGCACGCGCCATTGTGGGGGGCGGGGGGAGGCGCTCCTGCAACTGTTCGGAAGCACTAACCTCGCGGCATAATCATGGCGCACCAGCTGTGACCAGTGGGGGGCAGAATTTTGTTCGCGGACACCGTTGCCTCACGAAGGACGGCGCACGACATCTGCGCGAGACCGCCTTCGCCGCGAGCGAGGCGGCAGGCCGCAAGCGCCGGTGCACGCACCGCGAGTTCCAAACGGCTGGCGTTGGAGCCGACTCGTTTCTGTCGCGCCTGGCGCGTGCGCCAAGCATTCCCAGCCGGCCACAACTTGCCCGCTGACGTGCGCAGCAGTGCCGGTGACGGAGCAACGCCGCTGGCGATTGTCTTTAACACAGGCTGGGCGCCGGCCTCCCAGGCACGCTCCGCACGCCTTCGCATGGCGTTGTCTCACCCTCGCTGCACGGAACTATGAGCGCGGAAGAAAAACAAAAAACAAAAAAAACATAACATAACATGCCTTTCGAGCAAAATCTTTGCATATATCAAGTCATCAGCAAAGCGAATAAGGCGTTCTGCAGCTCCTGAGCCCAAGCCTTCACGCATTCGCCTTTTCCACGCGGCAACATCCTCTTCCGAGCCTGCATTGAATAATAGAGGGCTCAAAATGTCACCTTGTTTGACACCCGGTTGCATTGTAAACGTTCTGCTGCTATGTATGGACCCTGATTGCTGCACATACACATATTTCTGCAAAGCAAAGTATTCTTCTGGCACTCCTTGATGTAATAGGGAACAGCGAATCGTATTCAATGCGGTCAAAAGCTTTCCTCAAGTCCAGGCTTGCAGACCATATGTCAACTCCCCACTCCACAGCTGTACCACAAACAATTTCCAACGTAGCAAAAGCCGAGTCGACTCCCAAGTTGTTGCGAAACACTGCTTGATCTTGCGATTGCCGCTGGTCAAGCAAGAGGCCCAATCTTAATTGCAGAAGCTTGGACAATATGTTGTACGAAATTTCCAAAACTGCCACTGGCCTCCAATTGCTTGGGGAAGATAAATCGCCTGCTTTCGGCTGCATCTTGAATACGGTGTGTCGCCAGGATGACTATAAATATCCTGCTCTGAGCATGGAATTGAACATTGAAAGCATTGGTGAAGATCTTCATTTCCGTATTTCTACATTTCAAGCACCAGGCCCTCAGCGCCAACTCCTTTGCCAGCGTGCATTTGCCTAAATGCATCTTTCGACTCATCCACTTGGAAGTGAGGTTTTCCACTGAAAGTCTCCAAATTGTCACTGATGTCTTGCAGCCTGTCGGATGTGAACATTTTCTCCAAATATCCTGCAAACTGGTCTGGGTGCGGTTGATTGGCTCGCAAACCGCCTCCAGCCGATCCAATCCACACAATTCCTTCAAGAGTGTGTCAGTGTCTGTCTTCCGATGTCGCTTCTGTCGCATATGCGCGACCAAGGTTTTGCGAATCTGTTTTGACAAAGCGGCACAAAACTTATCTTTGGCCCAGCGGCACTGTTGCAGGTATTTGGAACTTAGCATGCTGCCACGTTTCAGGCATTTCCTCCTGGACACTCCTCGCAGTTGTCGGCATCGCCGCTGAGAGAAGTACAGAAAACTTGTTAGGAAAACAGCCTCGTCCGGCATGGCTGGGTTGCTGCCTTGTTTAGAGTTTTGGGCTTAGGGTGGGTTTGAGATTGGTTTTGAGAGGGTTTGGAAGAGTTTTGGGTCCAAATCGCTCTGCAGTCTGCAGCGTGCGCGCTGTCTGGGACTGCGCGCAGATCGCGGCGGGATAGCTGCCCCCCAGCCAGACTCAAGGTTTTCGAGCTCTGTGCTCGGCGGCCTTCAAGTGCACCATCGCACCTACTACAGTTTCATCTTTCCGCACTTAACATTCACTGCCTCGGCCGTTGCTTGCACTGACAGGCTGAGCGACGGAGCACGGCGAGGTGTCGTGTCGTGATGCTGGCACTGGCACCAGCAACTGCGATCGCTGCAACTTCGGACGGATGGAGAAAACGCGACCGCCGTCTTGAACTTGGCCACTGCAACGACTCCGCGTCGAGGCGTGATTGAACTCAGGGAAGCCTTGCCACGTTGACGCGCAACGCCATGAGTGGGAAGTTGAGGCTGAGTTTAAGTTTGGCAGCCTTTCAACTTCCTTCTGTCTAAGCAAAGCGTTTCTGGATCTCCGCAAAGCAGCAAAGCACGCCTTTTCTCGCTGTGCGCGCATCTCATCTCATGTCAGGAGCTCTAGCCCTTCGTGCCAGTCCACATGGATACACCAATTCTGTCGCTCATGCCGAGGTGGTCCTCAGCACAAGGAGCAAGAGTCCACATTCCCGCTATGCTTGATCCCGCTTCTCACAGTGTCAACCTGCCGCGGTCCTTTAATCGGTGTTCGCAGAACTTACGCATGATGAAATCCTTAGTGCAAAGGCAATGATTCGTGGATTTGCTTTCCTCTTCTCTTACAAAGGCGTGAAGATCGCAGAAGTCAGTCGTCGCACGCAGGCTATGAACCAAAGAAGACCAACTGCAGATTTCAGCATACACAAGCGCTGTCTGCACCAATGTGATCAAAGGGAACCAGCAGCCAGCTGCTTATTGCAATATTGCAAGCCTGCATTGAACTCAAGGCAGAAGCAAACTGTTTGTGCGTTCCTTGCTTGGTTGGAATTCTGGGAGGGTAAAACGTGTCAACTCTTGGGGTGTTTCCAAAACCGTTGCAAGACAATGCGTGTTGCGGACGAAATTGCAGTTTGCAGCTTCTGACAAGTACGACCTGAGCATGTTCGAATGATCTGGGTGGCCAGCACAGGCCTTCGGCGGCGTGATGTGGAGTTTCAGCAGCGTCTGACAGCGCAACGTTGGAACTCAACGAATCCCATGCAGCATGTCCATCATGTCCATCATGTCCGTCATGTCCGTCATGTTCCATGGCGCTTGAGAGTCGCAGTGAAATCCTCATGACCTGACCTGAACGCGCGCGTACTGGGCTCGGTGGATGCGAACCATGTACTTCAATCGGCGGAGGTGAGCCTGGGGAAGGAACCAAACGAGCGGCACATGGCCAACTAGCCTGTCACAGCCTGTCACACTGTGTCAGGAACAAGTGGTACAAAGACAAGGCACCGGGGTCTTCTTAGATTTCAAGTTGCGCTGGCCCCACTGACCTGAGTTAAAGTCACACATCGATTGAAAGGTAGTTGAAAATGTTGCATAAAGCAATTTATGGCGGTGCCAAGTGGCGTCGCCAGATAGTGATTCGGCCAGAGGGTTCACGACGAACAAGGAATCTCTGTTTTGCCGCGCTGTTCTGCCTCACAAATGACATGGATCACATGGAATGACATGGGATTTTCAGGATTCGGATTTCGAGTCGCAAGGCTCTTTTGCCATTCGCCCAGCCTTCGTCCACGCCTCCATTCTTTGATTGTCCGATCACAGATCCGAACGTGGGGCCTGCAGCGAGCAGCGAGCGGCCAGCAGCGAGTGTTTGCAAGTGTCAAGGTTGCATGTTCACTATGCATGACCATGCAAACAAGCACTCGAGTATCCAGCTTGCAGACCAGACAAGCAAGAGAGAAAGTAAGAAAATATAGCTAGGCAGGCGCATGTGTAAACGCCAGTCATGCAGCCCACTTATGAAGCAGCACACATCTCAAGCACGCACCTGCGAGGAACCTGTCCCATGACTGTGAGCGCGTCGATGTCAACTGCGCAACAACATGCAGGTGTGCAAGAGAACATAATTCATCCCTGCCTGAGTCTCCAGGCTGCGCTACAAGCAAGTTGCCATTTGCTATGTGAGCACTGCCGTGCCCAGCAAAAGGTCCAGGCCTGTCAATGGGATCTACACAGCTAGCTGTACAATGCAAAGCAGTGCGTGCAGGCAAACGGAATGCAACAACGTCAATGGGGGAGGCTTCAAGAGCAAGAGGGGCAGGTGTGGATATTATGATGACCCCGACACTGCTACAAATGATGATAATTATGTTTTCCCCGCCGGCAGGCTTGGACTTGCCAGGTTTGGCGCAAGCTTGAGAAAGTGCCAGAGCGGATTAGCTGAAAAACACATCCTGCATGATCAAGTCTTTGGATGTTGGTCCTTGGGAAATTGCGACCTGGTTCTCCGCTGTGAATTTTGGAACATGACGAACATGTTGTTTGGTCATGGCATGTCGGAGGCATATGCTTGGACCTAAGACAACGACTTGAGGAACACCAAGTCTGCCTCTCCGGCATTTCTGCAGAGACCCTGCTAGACTTCAAAGCATTCCAGATGCCAAATGCTGGCTTGGAAACGTATCAAGTCGATGCTTAGAGTTGGCAAGATGCATTTGCATCTAGATTTCAGGAAAACATGAGCCTGCTTTGGATCCAATTTGGGGCTGGTTGGGATGTCTCTGGGTTTTCCGGCATGTGATGTCTCTGGGTTTTCTAGGGGTTCCGAGCGCTTAGGTTTGGGCTTTATTTTTCTGTTTTCACTGGTCTTTGGGGAGCCGGCAGGATGTGTGACTTGTGCGTTTGTTTCTGGGTCTTGTGGCTTTTCGAGGGAGCGTGTTGTTACACGGGGGCTGCAGCTTTTTTCTGGGTTCTCTTTGGGTTTTCTCGCGGTTCTGCGCGCTTACGTTCGGGCTTCATTTTGTGTGTCGTGTGCGTTTTGCGGGGGTTCCTCGCTTTTCAAGGGATTGTGCTGGCGTGGTTGGTGAGGTGCGCGTTTTTGTGTGTGGGCTGTAGCCTTTCTCGGGTTCTCTCTAGGTTTTCTGGGGGCTCTGCGCACTTAGGTTCGGGCTTCCATTTTCCGTTTTTCAGTGGTGTTTGGGGTGCCGCGTGGTGGGTGACGTGTGCGTTTTTTTGCGTGGGTTTGTAGCTTTGCTCGCAGTTGTGCTCTTCAGCGTGGGCGCAGCGAGTCGCGCGTTTTGCGTGGGGTTTCTGGGGTTCTACACGCAAGCGGTGGGTTGGGTTCGGGCTTCCTTTGTCAGTTTTCAATGGTCTTTCTAGTAGTTGCCCGTCGGTGTGTCGTTCGTGTGGAGTTCGTGGCTCCGAGCGCACCTGAAGTCGGCGGAATGAGCCGGAGGCTCTAAAGTTGGATGTCATCCAAGCTGCCAAAAAGTGTGCAATACATCGAATTTGGGTGTTGCAGCGACAGCTGCCGCGTGCACGTGGGTGTGAGCGTGGGCGTGGGAATGGGAGTGCGCGTGAGCGTGTGTATGCGCGTGTGCTCGTGCCTGTGCCTGCGCCTGTGCGTGTGCGTGCGTGCGTGCGTGCGTGCGTGTGGGGGTGTGATTGTGTGGGTGTGGGTGTGGGTGTGGGTGTGGGTGTGGGTGTGGGAGTGGTCTTGTGTGTGTGGGCACGCGCACGCACATGTATTCACATTGGGGCATGTTCCTCTCCTCTGCATTTGATTCGAAGGAAGCGCTTAGCAGGTTGAAGTTGCCTTGAACAAATAGAGCACTTGCCACATCCATCCAGCCAGCTATGTTATCCTCCGGCCAAGCATGGAGGGAACCACGCCCCAAGACGGCACAGAAGGATACAAACCCATTTCAGGGGGAAGCGACCAAGCAATGCCGACATAGGCGAGGGTTCACAGTGGGAGAAAAGCGGAAATAACGACAAAGAATCAATCAAGCAGAACAGGCTCTCAACATGAAACTGAAACTCTCCTGAAGTGCCGAGCCTGCGATGTGCAAAGGCAGCAAGCCCGAGCACCAACATCCAGGCACTTCCAGATCCTGGTCAATGCTCCGCTGGGCTCACTGGCACAAGTGTGATTGTGATAAAACAGAACCACCATGTTCCTGAGCTTGCTGCAATGGCAGCACAATCTAACGCTATTCAACATGCTGAGCGGCTGTTGTCCGTGTCTGGGCGCAGCCGAGCTTTGGCATCAGGACTTGTCCTTGCACACTCGCTTTGGCAAACATATTCCTATAGCGACATAGCTCGAGCTAGCATGTAATTCAACCTGCACTCAGGTTGCAGCGCATCTTGGCGGCGATACGCAGTTGCAGGTGCCTTGAGCAATGACGCCAGAGCCCGGGAAGCAAGCTTGCGCACAAACAAAGTACTGTTGGCTACCAAGTCAATTATACAGATTTACACAAGCATGGGGCATCCGCAAACAGGAGAGAAACCAGATTCAACCCCCATTGTCGAGTACAGTAGGGAGTGTGGGCACTGCTCAATCTCAGCTGACATCTGCGCACGCCCTTGCAATCACAGCTGCAGCAAGTTGGAGAAAGCTTCGGCCGGGATCAACCTGGCTGAAAAGAAATCTGCAAACTTGAGGAAACTCTGCCCGCTCTGTTCAGACTTCCAAAGCAAGCGAACAGGAGACACTTGGTCCTTGCCTGCAACAGCCCTGCTGCACACAGCAGCAGACCTGTTGCAAATGCGTCAAACAAAACGCCCTCTCCCGCAACAAATCTGACACGCTACGCCACTATGCCCTCTCTGGCCTGCCAGGGTGGTACTTCGTCGCCGCAGCCTCGGCCGTTGGGGACTTGCGACAATGAAAAGCCGAGAAAGCCGAAGAACTGGTGCTGGCGCCCCGCAGCCTTGGGCTCCTGCATTGAGCACACCAACAGGCAGGCTCCTTCACCCTACCTTGAACCACCGATCGGTCAACAACGTTGAGCCGCAGCCCAGAGTTCATAGCAACAAGCGCCCAACTGATGTTTTCTGCACGGATCACCAGCGGATTGCCGGAATTCGGACCCTGAAGCTCTTTGCATATTTGATATGCTTGGGCTCAGTATGGGAGCCACCTGTCCAAGGAAGAAGTGCTCACAAAGCTTGTGCAAAAAGTTGCCCTCGTGAAGATTGCATCCTTCAAGCTCTGCCACACAGGTGCCCCAGCTCCGAACATCAGGCACAGCTTGGCTGCTGACGCATTCAGTGAGAAGCCTCGTCATGTCTCTCCATGCGGATCTGCCTGCGAGGGCAGCGATGGCGACGTTGTAGGAGATAGAATCCCTGTCCAAGGAGAAAACAGGCATCTCGGCGAACAATGCCAGGGCGTGCGTCCAGAGCTCTGCCTTTTCGCAGCCAGCCATCGCAGCGTTGAAACTGGTGGCGTCTGCTAACTGCATGTTGACCGTGGCTTGCAACAAGGAAAGGCCATGCTTCCACTGACCACCTTTCTCGCAGGCACTGATTGTGGCGTTGTAGGAAGTTGTCATTGGAGCAGGCATTCTTTTGAAAAGAGCTAGGGCGCTTGCCCACGCTGCTGCCCTCTCCAGAGCAGTTAAGGCAGCGTTGTAAGTAGTTGAGGTCTGTTCCGTGGACTCCCTGGACATACTATCAAATAGGCTCAATGCGATCTGCCATTGACTCCCGTCCGCACAAGCGCTTATCATGGCATTGTACATCAGCGAGTCCTTGTGACGAGCCGAAGCGAAAAGCAAAACTGAGAGCTCCCAGCGTTGGCCTCGACATGCTGCACTGATGGCAGTGCTCAGCACCACAGTGCCAATTTCCAGCCGTGACTCTTCCATCATCAAAAACAGGTGAAGAGACAGCTCCCACTTGCTGCTTTTGCCGCATGCGCTCATTGCTGAGCTGACAGCAACATAATTTTGCAGACTACCCGAGGCCAGGCTGTCAAACATGTCCAGGGCAAGCTGCCACTTTTGGCCACAAGCACTGATTGCTGCAGAGGCCAACTGTGCATCTGGTCGAATGCGCGACTCCTGCGCCATCTTCAGGAGGCTGGCGGCCGTCTCCCATGATGCCGACCGCTTGCAAGCTGACAACGCTTCCGTGACATGAATCTTGTTGATGCGCAAAGCGCACCTCCGCAGTGATCCAAGTAGAGCGACGGCATCTGCTGCACGTCCTTGAAGCTTCATCTTTCGGAGGAGTTGGAGGGCTCGCGAATCCACACCCCTGGACGACAAAACTGCCATCGGGCACAGTTGTTAAGCCCCATGTCCACATGATTTGCAAAACTCACACCAGGCTGCTTGAGCAAAAACTACTGCTGCTTGTCACCAGTAGTGCTCCCCGAAGTGCCGCCGTAGTTCCCCCAGTGCTCCCATAGTGCTCTCTCTCAGAAGCACTTCCTGCAGTGCTCCCCGTTGGAGCAGAGTGGAGTGGAGTGGGGTGGGGTGGAGTGGAGTGGAGTGGAGTGGAGTGGAGTGGAGTGGAGTGGAGTGGAGTGGAGTGGAGTGGAGTGGAGTGGAGTGGAGTGGAGTGCAGTGCAGTGCAGTGCAGTGGAGTGGAGTGGAGTGGAGTGGAGTGGAGTGGAGTGGAGTGGAGTGGAGTGGAGTGGAGTGGAGTGGAGTGGAGTGGAGTGGAGTGGGGCGCGGGGAGGGGCTGGGCGGGGCGGGGCGGCAGTGGAGCGCAGTGCAGTGCAGTGCAGTGCAGTGCAGTGCAGTGCAGTGCAGTGGAGTGGAGTGGAGTGAAGTGGAGTGGAGTGGAGCGGGGCGGGCGGGGCGGAGTAGAGTGGAGTGGAGTGGAGTGGAGTGGAGTGGAGTGGAGTGGAGTGGAGTGGAGTGGAGTGGAGTGGAGTGGAGTGGAGTGGAGTGGAGTGGAGTGGAGTGGAGTGGAGTGGAGTGGAGTGGAGTGGAGTGGAGTGGAGCGGAGTGGAGTGG